AAGTATTTAATAATTAATATTATAGCTCTATAGTAGTTATATAAATACTATAAGTTATATAAAATATAATAGATTAATAGTAATAATAACCTTATTAATACCTTTACTAAAGTGAAGCTTAACTAGTACCTTATATATTTCCTTAATATAAACTTAATAATAATATAGATAGAGGGATAGGTTATATAAGCCTAAGTAATACTAATTACTAGTACTAGCTTAAGGTAGGATTAAGTAATAGTTATAGAATAACTACTATAATAAGGGTTATAAGTAATTATTAAGTAATTACTACTTTTCACGTTATATATTATTTAATAACTTCTTTTTGAACTATACTATAATTACTATTAATTATATTAACACTAGTAAAAAGAGAAAGTTACTAGTATTAGTAATACTAGCCTATTATAGTGTTAATTAAGCTAGGCGTACCTTATATAATTAGTAATTATATAAAGCACTACCCTCTATAATTAATGCTATAATTATAGCTACTACTTCTAATATAGTTAACTATATATATATTACTACTAATATAGTTAATATAATATGATATTTACTGCTTATAGTGACCCTTACTAGCTAGCTAGTCCTATGAGACTAATAGTATACTAGTAGGCAATAGAAGAATAATACTTCTTTAAATCTATTGTGGTTCTGAGGGAAAAGGCGTCTACTTTGAAACTTATAGATATTATCCTCTTTTCTCTAATAAGCTAGGTAAGGCTATTACTACTCTTAAGGCAGTTATAGAGGTAGTGAATATAGTATTACCTTAGTATTTTAGTATAATAGGTTATAGTAGTATAAAGAGGGAGATATCTACCCCCTAGCGATTCGCGCTCTCTTTATATATCCCTATAGGTGGCCATAGAGGTTTCTCTATGAAGCCTAGGCCATCCTGGCCCTCGAATATTTCCCCGTGAGAGTTATACGGCAGTCAACAAGGTGCGCCTCCAGGCGGCAAACTGCGAAGAAAAAGTTAGAAGGGAAGAAAGATAGCGATGATAATAGCGGCGACGACGGCGGTACAGTAAACAGCATGAAGTAAACCGTATATAAGACAACCACAGAAAAAGTAGTCGCTGGAGTGCAGGAAAAATAGGCGGTATCCAGACTTCAGAAGGCACGGATCACACGCAAAAGCAAGTACATTTGAATGCACCGGCTGAACAGTATGTTTTCACCAACGAATGCACAACCAGATAAAACAGGCATCTCCCTCGCGAGAATGCTGATCAATTCCAGATATAACTCCCAAGAGGATTTTGATCGACTCCAATGATTCTCCTCGCGAGAATCCGGATCAATTCCAGACATCCTCAGCGACGATATCTGATGCTGGGGATACGAAGCAGAGCGCGTCTCTAAACGCTGGGGGCGTCAAAAGGGCACTTATCCTCACAACAGTCTGGATCACAACAAACAGATATTTCCGCCGATATATCTGTAAATCGCCACAAAGCCTGGTTTCAAAGTTTGGTTTCTATATCAAGGTGAAGCCCTACGCGTATCTGGGCGAGGCGCACGCTCTGTAATTCATACACCAACAAACCTCGATCCCGGTTCCCCGAGTCTCTTGCGCGTTTATTCACCGGGGGAAAACCTACATCGAGATTACAAGGATCGACGGAAACATGGCTTGCATGGGCTGGGTACAGCGATCGGAGGCGTCCAAAAAGCAGATTCTCGACCAGTTGAAGGATATCGCTTGCCAGTTGCGCGCCATACCACCGCCACCTGGAGGCGCGGAGGTTTCCAATGTCGATGGAGGCTCTATATGGGACTGCCGGCTGCCGTCAAAGGAATTTTGGGGCCCCTTTGCTACAGCGAAGGACTTTCACAGAGAATTCGTTCAACCCGTACCCCTGGAAGCCGAACGTAGAGGCGAGCTTGCAGATTCGTATGAGTTGTTGGACTTCTACCGCCGTTGGGATGACAGCTTGGTGTTTACTAACGGATACATCAGCAGCCTGAACGTGTCGGTCCGGGGTGATGACGTGGTGGGCGTCATCGGCTGGGAGACTGCGGGATGGCTGCCCTCATATTGGGAATACTGTTCTGCGTGGCATGTGAACCCTCAAAATCAGTTTTGGCAGCAGGAGATCGATAAGTTTGTGGAACCTATGTCACATGAACTTAGGATGGATCAGATTCGTCGCAAATATTTTGGCGACTTTTGAGCCGATGCCCAGGTTGATATTTTGATCCAGGTCAATACCATGGAAACGCGCTGGGAAGGCCTACCGAATCGAATTCGCCTGGTAGGTAGCGACATGACGGCATAGCATCGACGGAGCGAGGCAACGACAAAAGACAGCTGACTCGTTATCGCCGGTGTTATTCAACTAGTTGAGATGGTCCATTTCCGTGTCTCCCAGAGGTACAACACCAGTCACCGGCTCTCCGTCCTTGGACCCAACATTTCCATATCGGATTTGGAGCTCTCTCAAGGTTTTTGACAAGTCCCCTCCATCCAACAGATCAGCCTTGGGCGGGAGATCAAAGTACTTTGAATCGCGGAACATGGTTGATATGTAACCAAAGATCTCAGGCCCCCTTGCCCGATGTTTGAAAACCACTCCCATTACACCCGCCGCGAGGAGAACAACACCCGACGACAGGCAAACGGCTGCCCACACATCTGATATTTGGATCACAACCACAAGCTCCCTCAACTCAGCTGGAACAGTCTCGTTCGACCGGGAGACCACGTTGGCCGAATCTTTCCTTTGAGCAGACCCTCTTCCTGCAATTTCAAAAGACAGTTGGCTCACGGCCAAGAACGTATTGAGAAGCTGAGCCAAACGGACCTCAAGTGTCTCGGCGGTGTAAGACTTCATAAACGCCCTCTCGTCGGATTGCATTTCCCTGAGAGTCGGGTCCTGGAGGTAGTAGAGCGAAAAGTCCGCTTGGTAGTTGACCGAGCCCCCGACTACGAGCGGTAGTCTCTGCGACAGGAGGTTGAACACCTTTGGGAAGGACAGGTGGGTAATACCTTCTGGCGCATGCCGTCGCTGCGACGGTCTTTGGCTGATCACCCTGCAGCTTGGCTTCGTGTTGTCGGCGGCAGCCAGTCTGCAGGCAACCCGGGATTCGACGGATTTCTGGGTAACGCCGAAGGTGGCCTTGACGTGATTGTGTTCACGCAGTTGTTTGTCGGTGATGGCACTTACGGCGTGTGCCTCAAACAGGAGAGTCGTAGGGCCGACGTCGATGCCCGTCTCGTTTCTGAATAGGATGGGTCGCTCGCGCTCGGCGGAACGGTTGTCCGACTCAAGTTTCCGAGTTGTCGTTCTATTCCTGAGCAGCCAAATGGGATCTACAAACCGGTCGAGAGCCAAACTCCAGGTCGTCGCATCCCCGTTGGTGAAGTTGTATCCATGCCAGGTGCCGTTTGGCATCCGAAAGATCTTGTCCTTTAAATCCTCCGCAGACGAGGCCGCCGTATCCATCATTGAATGGTCCAAATGTGCAAAGAAGCCTTCAGGTGCCTGATTACCAGTAAGAACAGTTGCATTGTGGCAGTGGAGGTCAAGATAGCTGGACTCCACGGTAAAGGTCGTGTTGCCAATATCAAGATTGCTGATCGGTATACCAGCCAGAGAAGAATACTCGATCTCGCTAGAATTACTGGGTAGGTCTCTCCATTGGTTCTCGGTGTGATTCAGGAACGGAATCCTAACGTTACCCCACAGGTCCATGGTGTCGAATTTCGTAGCTTCCGGCGTAGTGACAAGAGTCGCATACAGGGACGTCAAAGAGCGCATACCTGGAGTAGGGCCAAATGATCCAGTTGAAAAGAGCTCCTGCCACTTAACGAGCCTACTCCTGGCATCATCGTCGAAGTAGGTGATAGTTGTATCCTTTACTCGCGGCTCGTTTCGTCGGGATTCCATCCTCAGCAGGCCTTGGGTCCCAAGAGGAGAGAACGCCCACGTCAGAAGCAATAAAATGCTTAGTAGATTAACTGAGCCGAAGCTGAATAGGGTCATGACAGTTGAGCCAACTGTTTGACTACCATTCAACTGTTCAAGAAACCCCACAGTTGCTCCTCGCTCTAGCTTCCAACGCACGATCTCGGACATCAGTTTGCCTGTAATGCCCGCAAACAGGATGGGGAAGGTACTCGCAAGCTACAGTTTCAAATCTTTATCACAATGCTCATCCTGCGTACAGGAAGAGGCCCAATGTGAAGGCTCGACTTACGTATCGAATAGCATCTTCCCGTAACTTCTCGAGGCTGTCCCCGCTTGGAGATCCGTTAAGACGCCACAGCACAACTACAAACACTGTGAATGCAAGCGGGAGAGCGATCGATGCGCCGTCTTTTAGAACACTGGAAAACTTGACATGGCTCGATCGCTGCACTTGGCGGGCGGGCTCTTCTTCATCATCGGTGATGCGTATGTAGGTCTTGGACTTGAAGCTACTTCCGGTGTCGTTCCTGTGGTTTTTGATGTTGTCGCTGCTGACTTGGTAGCTGAAACAATTGAGTCTGTCAGTCACGACGCTGTTTTTCTCTTCTGCGACAGTCGATTATCGTCGGACTTGCCTTGATGATACATGCACACGAGACTCTATGTTCATGTTGTAACTTGCAGCCAACGAGCGTTGTGTCAGGGAAGATGAATGCTGCCGAAGCTGCTGGAGCAATTTCACTCATGCAAGAAGACTGTCCCAAATGTTTATATTTAAGCTATTATGGAAATTGCCAGGTGACCAATGCAGGGTCTAACGGATATGAGCCGTCGCCAAGTCCAGCCTGCTTGATGTTGCAGCAGCCTGATGCACAGGACCAACGCCCATTGGTAAGTGTGATACGAGCAGATAACGGTTTTCAATAGTTCAAAGCGAGTCTACTCATATGGAACTCTCGTGTCCGGTAAAACGTATATTTTTATTCTACTGTCTTACCAGGCTCCAGGCCCGCTTACGACACACACCAACCAGGACTGTGTATGCACGTTTCCGGCAGCTTGAATCTGTATCAAATCCTGAGCACAGCCTGATACGTGCGTCTGTTCAACCTATCTTAGGAGCTATTGTCCTGACACACCGGGACCAGAGAAGAGAGACGGCAACAATGCAAATCAACGCATGATAAGGAAATAGGAGAGATCCAAAAATCTAGCCGAAGTCACATCATGACGGCGAACTCGACTCCTGAGCCACTATGTACAAGGAAACAAGATCCTAGTGAGCACATATTGGTCTTGCGTTGAGGACGATTTGGACCGTCGACATGGGGGTTCTTATAGGTCCCTCGTACCACCTCGACTCAGGTTCAGCGTCTTGATTACATGCAAAGTCTCACCGGCATACCCTTGCTCAAAAGTTGGGCTTGAACCCATCATGGCCGACGTGTCGATGACCATCAGCTGCGCAAAGTTCCACGACGCAACGTCGAGTTGATGCCTCGTATTAATAGTCCTCAGCTACCCTGTCGGCCTCAACCCAGGCAATGATGGGGCTCTGGCATGTTCAATGCCAACCTTGGGAACTAGCTGACGCTAGCAAGCGCGACAATGACCTTGGACATTGCCTTCAGGACCTGCGCTCGTGCCGTGAAGCGCGATGTCTACTTCACGCTTTCACTCAACTTGCATCGGTGCCGTCCAAGTATACAAGTGGGCATCAGTCAAGGACACCAGGGGAATGAACGAGCATGATGGAGTTTTCGTCGAACAGTCACAAGCCGCAGAAGCTCGCGTTGAAAGGGCAACTCAGCTTGAACCAAGCGCTTCTCGCTTTCGAGGGTTCAAACTTCCACGAGAGCCCAAGTAAGCCCAGCGGATTTGGCAGAGTACAGGAACTCACTCATCTCTTCAGAGGTCCTCTTTATCCATTGATTGTGCTCTTACTGAAGCTACTTAAGTGTCAGTACCTGTCGCAGGCGGCTTACTTTATCCCCTAGAATGATATGGCATCCTCTAGCTCAACGATACACAGACGCCTGCTCATATCGACTTCCACGAGCAAGTTTTCAGCGTTATGATGACCACGCCCCTAGGCCCGGTATGTTTTAGACCCTAGATATTCTTCCTTGTCGAGTGCTTATCCAATCGTTGGTATTCTTCCTCGGGGTCTGTCGAGTATACCTCGAATGACTGCCGAGAAGGTATTTCATAGAGAGCTGCAAAATCTCGTTACACAACTTCAACGGCCCCCAATGGCCTTGAATGTGGGAAAGGAGACGCGAAAAAGCCAGAATTTACGGTAGTAGATCCATCGTTCTGTGGTCTCGCAGAGGAGCAGCCGCGGGCTGTCATATCAAAATCTCACAAAGGGCGTTGAAACGAGGCGAATGTCGAAGAAGCAGTTTGATACACACCATCCCGCTCAAATTCCTGGGCCCAAGACCTCGTGGCTAAGACCACTTTACGCATACACCTTACAATCATTGCAGCAGGAAACAGGCAGACCGGGCCGGAAAAGCAGTGAAAATCATGCAAAGAGACCATTTTTGACTTTTTGAACGATACCGTTCCTTGAGTACCTAGATGAGAAAAAAGCCTTTCATTCATTGTGCAACGACCAGAAATTCAGCCGGCCCAGTCCTCGGAAGCCATGTGACGCAAAACCATCCTTCTTCAATTTTCCCCGAAAACTGGCCCTTCCCTTCCGTACCCATCGTTGTTGGCTAGAGCGGAAACATGTGTCGAGGCACATTTCTTGCCTGTATGTTGGCAGATCTTAGGTGGCATAACTTATTTGCCGCCGAGGCTGGGGAAAGCAGACTCGTCCTTGGTGTTGATGGCAGCAGAGCCGCCGCGGGGGGCACCGCCACGGGGAGCGCCGCCGCGGGGAGCACCACGGGGGGCACCACCACGCTGGCCGCCGCGCTCGCCACGGTCGCCGCCACGGGCACCACCGCGGGCACCGCCGCGAGGACCACCACGGCCGCCACGGGGGCGCTCAGGCTCGACGTAACGCTGGTCAATATCCAGGAGCTGCTTGGTCTTGCGCTCACGCTCACGCTTGGTCTTGCCTCCGGTGCCGATCATGAAGTTGTCCTCCTCGTCGCGGGAGACCTCCTTGACGTTGGCCCACTCCTTCTTGAGCTTGGAGCCCTCGTTGGCCTTGCGGACCTCGAGGCCAGAGTCAAGGGCGAGCTTCTTCTCGGCCTGCTGGGCGAGGTAGTCGGCGTAGGAGATGTTCTTGTCCTCGGGCTCCTCGGGCTCAACGGGGACGGCGGCCTCGGCCTCGGCATCCTTCGCCTCGGCCTGGGCGATGGCCTCGCCGGCCTGCTCATCCTTGCGCTCGGCATCACCCTCGGTGGCGCCCCAGGACTGGGCAGCCTGCTTGTCGGAACCGCCGCTGTGTTGGGTTAGCTTTGAAGCTGGCATGACGGGACGGGGAGGAATTACGTGGCCTGGCCCTTGGTGTGTCGGTCGTCGCGCTCACGGGGGAAACGGCCGCCGCGACCTGTTTGATGTTAGTGAATGAACCGAGTCTCGACCGCCATGCGCGAATTGCTCGCGGCAGGCGACGACAGGGCGAGTACGAACCTCCACGGACGCGGGCACCGTAGCCGCCACGGGAGCCGCCTCTAGCAGACTCCTCGGTGGTCTTACCACGGTTGCGGTCGCTGCCGGCACCACGGTCACGGAAAGCTGTCGGCAGAGTAGGGTCAGCGAACCGAGCCACAAAGCGGGGTCGAGATTGCGTCTCCTCGGGGGGAAAGACGGCAATGGAGGTCAAACGTACCGGCCTCGTTGCCAGAGGCGTTGTTGCGGCGAGCACCGGTGTTGGCGGCCGCGCGCGAGGGGGCCTCAGGCTCGGCGTTGCGCTTGGTAGAGCGCATGGTGGACTTATCGACCGTCTTCACGGGCGCCTGAGGGGTGTCATCCTCGGCATCGTTGCCTGTCGTGGGGGTTAGGGCATGTCCAGACAGCGAGGGATCATTCGTCGGAGGGATCGCAATCGAGGGTATTCATACCGAGGAGCTCGAACAGGTTCTGGGAAGCATTGTCAGCATGGGATTCGACGATGGACGACGAGGTTGTGAAAAATTGTGGCCGCCGACGACAACGACAGGATTCCGGGAATTGACGGCAGCAACGACGACGCACACAATGGCGAGGTCAAAATGACGACGAACAGAGGATTTGAAACAGTTCGGGAGGGACAGGACCAGAGGGCGAGCTTACCTTGCTTGCGACCGACATCTTGTCGCCTGGATTGTGGTGAACAATAGCGACCTAGTCTAGGATGTGATTTGGGGTAAAGAGGCAGGTTAGAACACCATGACCTAGCGACTGGTGATGATGCTCGATAGGGAATATGGGACCAATTGGTGCCGGTGATGTGACGATGGGGAGAGAGGTGAAGAAACTGCGCGCAACGGGGCACCGTGGGCACTGGCTGGGGTTTCCGGGAGGAAGTTGGGACAAATCACAGCGCTGCGAACCGACCAAGCACGGAGCAAATTAGGTCATGTAGCCAGGGCACGCAGGGCAAGCAGACGGCCCGGGGACCAATGGCAGCCCGGCACCGCCCGCTGGACGCAGGACAGGGCACACAACACGCACCACTTTTGACACGCAGATGAGGGGCACCTGGCCCCTGGAGTTCGCACTGTGCAGAGTGCCCTGTTGCCCTGTACCCGTCCGTGTGCCAGCCGCTACCACCACCGCCGCTGCCAGTCTTTTTGGTGTGTGAGATCATCGCCTGCCTGCTCTCGCTTAGGATTTACCTCCATTTTTGTGTGCTATTTTCCGGCCATTTTTTAGGGTTCTAGACGCGCCCTCCCTCCTGCCTCCCTTCCCGTCCCTTCCCTTCGTACCAAGCCTACCTAGGTACCGGTTCCCCTCACCTTGGCCTATTTTTCCGAATGCCGGTGAACTCTACCTTTCGTCGGAGTCGGAGCCCAACTCCCTTCCTCGGTCAATCTGCTCTCCCGATCCCGGAATCTCATCAAAGGTCCCGTGCCACTCGCTTCAACCGAGGGGTCGTTTTCACAACCAACGGAACCGACTTCGCTCCTACCCCTCGCATTCGATTCCAGGTTGTGAAAAGGAGGGGCGGCATGCTCGGCTTGTTTCCAATGGCCCCTCCCCGCCGCCGCTGAAGGAGGAGCTCCATCCGGAAACCAAACCGAGCACACACAACGCCAAACTCTCATCCGCGAATGTCGGTCGTTCCGGGCCCTGGTCGTCGCCTGCAATGCTTGCTACCTGCTGCCTGCTGCCTGCTGCTCAGCGCTGTCACCCGCAATCGCCAACGCCCCGTTTGCATCGGACCTGGCGGGCGAGGAAGCTCGGTGCTTCTGTCTGCGGAGCTCTTGAAACCACGCACTCTGATTGAGGCATGCCGCTTTTCGGATGCAAGATGCAGGCTAAGCCTCGGTGGCTACCCGACGGCGGCCAGTGTCATCTGAGCGCGAGGCTCCACAGGGCTACAAAGCTGGGGAAAACTCAATCCGCATCTGGCGCTGCGTTCGACAAGGTACTTACACGCATCTCGCAGATGACACCCGTTGGGTCCTCCCGGGGTGATATCCTACTCGTTGGTTTGCTGCTGAACCCTGGCTTTGGAAATCTTTTGTGAGATGATGCCATTGAGTTGTACAGCAGGCTGCTTGCTCTGGCGTGATTTGTAGAAAGAAGTTGTCGCGTGAATCAAGTGCCACCAACTCAGTGCTTCCCAATGGCGCTGGATACCTACATTTGCTACTAGCACCAGCATGACTTGTGGACATGTCCGAAGCAATGCAAGCTGAGGCAGAAGACGCAATCTCATTACTTTTGGCGTGATATTGTTCTTGATGGCTGCAAACACAATTCTCCCTGCTAAGATCCGTTATCTGCTTGCCGGACTCCCAAACCAAGTTACTAAATGACCGCAGAACCATCCAATGGCTACCATCATGAGCCCATGTCTTTAACCCCGAAACGCCCCCTTTTCGTCGTTTGGCTCGTGTGAGCCCTCCTTCCTGCCTTCATGTCTATGCAATCTTGTACGTTTGCAGGTCCTCTTCTGAGCTCCAGATCTCCGGTCGGGAGTCGTTTCCGTCTTTTCTCCTCTTGTGAAAAACCCCAGTTACTGAGCTGGCTAGATCGTATCCGAGTAGATGAAAATCGACAGCCGGATGAAAGTGTGCACCGACAGCTTGTATTGCTTGGCCAACTCGCGCAAGGGCGAAAACTTGGCCTCTTTTCTGGAATCCTCGTCGGGAAGTATGAACCTGACTCCCTTCGTGTGGTGATTGGTCGAATGGGTTGCTACCAAGTGAGAAATGTCCGAGTTTTGCATTGGCTTGCACTTGGATAGCCCAGAAAGGAAGCGTCGTGTCATACTTTGCCTTTCGGCAGGACTTTGGGGGAAGAAGTGATTGTCGGGATCCAGTGAAGTACACTCCATTCTCTCCAAGAAAGCGCCAAAGAGCTCCGTTGTCGCCCGCTGCCCAATCTTGCCGGCGAATGCCACAGCCCGGTGGATGGCCGCAGGGTGAATATCAGGCTGCCATTCCAAACGCAGGTTGTCCTCCCATAGTCGTTTCATCGAGAGAAGTACTAGAACGTCTCGGAGATAGCCTCGAATGGTGTAAAAGGGCTCGTCGTTACGCTCACGTTTCAATACGTATCTATCGAAGCGAAGATTGGGCGAGGCCCAGGCTGTGAAGCGTTGAAACAGACGAAGAACCTCAGTTGGCTCATCCTCCGAGAAAGGTGACGAGCCCCGGTCGTCTTCGTCCTCTGCAAGTTCCAGAAGGTCTTGAACCTCTTCCCAAGATTCATGGTTGTTGAGAATCGCGTTGGCTTTGGCGATGATATCAGGCGATATGACTTCATCGAATTGTCGACAATCTCCTTTATTGTGCAGTGATCCCAGCCAAGAGATTCTTGCAGCATCAACAAGCATCTCGTATCGGCAGTAGTCACCGTTGTTCTCTCCCAGAACCTTGGTAAGATAGCGCTCAATGTCCCGCTCTTCCCAGTCGATGTCATCCCCGCTTCTCCTCGGCCACTACACTTCAGGCTTAAGGTCAACGTTCAGCATCAGAAGCCGCTCCCAAAACTCGCGACACAACTCAAATACTGCATGAGAATGTTCCGGAGTTCTCGTCCCAGGTGACCGCGTGGTGGGCGACTGAGGTTGCTTGAACACTATCATGGCTGTTGTCTCCTCCTTCAGCCGTCGTGTCTCCTTGCATTGGGGTCTTTGCGAATCTCATCTATGTCTTGAGATGAGTGACTATAATGTGTTATATGTCAGTCAAAACTGAAACCATTTTTTGAGAAAGGTACTCACAGATCAACGATATGGCTTTCCTGTAGAAAATAGAAGCAGTGTGAGAAGGGAAAAGATGTCGAGGAAGTTTCGAGTCCACCTAAGGCTCTTTCCGAAAGCCGATTCTGAAGTTGCAGCCGAAAGGACCATAGCTACTTCTCCGAGGCGTTCTTGTAATATCTTCGAAGAAATAATGGGAAGTCGCGATCTCTTACTTGGTTTCTAAAGCCAACTGGTATTCATTTGCAAGGAAGTTGCGCGTCTTGTGTTGCCGAAAGTGGCCCATAATGGGTGATTGCCGTTCGTAAGCCACCGATCCAAGGATCGTCACGCAGGCTCTCAATTAGAAAGAAATCAGAATATCAGTTTCATATCATATAAACAGTATATCAATCTCGACGATGCAGCCATCATACCGCTTCAGAAACCATCATCCAAATGCATGCCGCTTGTGAATCACAAACCCCACCACCCACGTAATTCCCAAAACGGAAAGAGCACCTTAGTCATCCGGGAACACCCTAGCGCCTGAACCTGGGCCACCCCCGGCCGCCACGCGAACCCCACACTGGAGCCAGCCCAAGCTCCTGAGACCAGGCTCCCTTCAAGGGCTGCTTACTCGCTCCGCAGCGTCGCACTACCAGCTCCGACTGATTCGCCAGCATGGCCAAGTGGTAAGGCATCGCACTTGTAATGCGGGGATCCTGTGTTCGATCCACAGTGTTGGCATGAGCAGTTCTCTTTTTGCATTTTCGGACACATGATGCGGTCGCGCAGATGTTGATTGAAATCTTTCGTCGAAATAATTTTTGGTTGGATGTGTTTTTGGGGAAAAGATAGTTCACCCGGTATGTTTGTGTGTGTCCATTCCCATGGGAACTTTGATGCCGTGAGAGTTCCAGCTACATCATCACGCGCTGATAGATACTTTCTAAGACTACCATGTTTTCGGTGCGTTATCCAGGTTGCGTTCTGCCATGTTCCGTGTTTTGCTGAAAAGTCACATTTGATGATTTCGTGTGTTCTCAGCAACACCAAACGCGTACATCGCCGGTTCAGTCATAAGAATTACTAAATATCAACAACCAATCTCCATCCGAGCTTTTGATAATACTATGAGTCTACAAGTGCAGGATGCAACCATGTAGCTCGCAATATTAACCACAAATCGGTTGATCTTCTTATTAATTTCTTCTGCTGCGGAGACTGTTCATTCTCCCACAATCCTCACGCAGGGAGGAGCTCACAGAAAACCCAGGCTTCTCTGAGATGGAACACGCAAAACAGAAAGAAACAAAATTGGTTGACGATCTGCGGGTGGAGAAGTGAGCAGCATGCTGAGATCCTGGATCCATGTTTTTTATTGCGCAAACATGGTAAATACCCCGAGCCTCGTGGCTCCCTTGCAGCTCGATTCTGCAAAGGCATTTGGTATATCTGCCGGTTTCACACCACTGTGAGACTCTGTTTCTGCCCTGAACTTTCGATATTCATAACCTTTCTGTACTCGAAAAAGTGGCAACCAAGTCCCTTGCTTCATGTAAACCGTAGATCACCATCAAATCACGAGGAAAGTGAGAAGAAAGATGTAATAAATCCAAGATTATTTTTCCATTAAGATACTAGCCATTAGATATAATTATTTACCCTAAAGTCGTCTAAGGAGTGTAAGAATGAGGCCATGTAATTCATTAAATCCAAACTCCGTTCATCCTTTTATGCATCGCCACGATGCTGCTCAAGTGAGAGATGAGGCGCAGCTTAGTAGCCGCCAGCGAAGACGCCGCACTTGTTGGAGACTAGAACGTTCTTGTTCTCAGCCAAGCAGTCCTGGTACTGGATCTTGCACTTGTTGAGAGCGACAGTAAAAGTGTCGGCGAAGAAGAAGCGCTTGGCGATGTCGGGAGCAGAGGAGTAGCCACCACCGCTGCGGCGGTTGTTGTAGGCCTTGCAACCCTGGGCGTAGACGCTCTGGCACTCGGTGTACTGCTCCTGGCAAGCCTCGGCGCAAGCGTTGGGGACGCTGCCCTTGCCGTAACCCTTGCAGAGCTTGGTGTCGGCCTCAATGTAGAGCTTGAACTGGTTGCCAGCCTTGAACTCGACCTCGACGTCGTTGCAAGTAACGATGGGGATCTCGATGCCACCGACAGGGTTGCCAGGGCCGTACTTGAAGAGCCAGCTGGAGGGCTGCTTGCAGATACCAGTGGGAGGAGGAGGGACAACAGTGACAGGGGTAGAGGTGGAGGTAGGCTTGGAGGGGCAGGGGAAGGTGGAAACAGAGGTAGAACCAGGCTTCCATCCCTTGGGCTGCTTCTTCTGGAAGCAGTCCTTCTTGCCGCAAGATCCCTTCTTGCCGGAGCAGCTGCTGGAGCAGTAGCTGGAGACATCCTTGCACCAAGCCTTGAAGTCGACGCAGGCAGCGGAGTTGGGGAAGCCGGCACCCTTGTAGCAGGCGTTGACCTGGAGGAGGCAGCGGTTGGAAGCCTTGTTGCAGCTGTCCTGGTCGTCAAAGTCGGGGAGGTTCTTGTTGCACCAGCTACCGCAGCCGTACTCGCAGGTGGCGGGGGTGGTCACAGTGGTGGTGCACATAGCCGGAGCAGTGGTGCTAGGAGTAGGCTTGGGAGTGGTAGAGGGAGGAGGAGGAGCCTGGGAGGACACGACCTTGGAAGTAGAGACGGGAGGGACGACGGGCTTGGTGGTTGAGGTCGTGCAAGTCGAGGTCGTGGCGGGAGGAGGAGGAGGGGGAGCCTGGGAAGTGGTCGACACAACAGTGACCGAAGTAGCAGGAACGGAAGTGGCAGGCACCGAGGTAGCCGGGACCGACGTAGCAGGGACTGAGGTATCGGGAACTGAAGTAGCAGGGACCGAAGTAGCCGGGACTGAAGTATCCGGAACGGAGCTGGCAGGGGCCGAAGTGGCAGGGACGGAAGATGCCGGGGCGGAAGAGACAGGGAGCGTGACCGGGAGCGAAGAGGACGGCGAGTTGGCGGGAGGGACGTAGCCGCAAGGCTCCAGAGAAAGGAGCTTTTGGGAGGCATAGATCTCAACATTGGCAGAGCCACCGCAGTTCTTGGTGCTGTCACCCGTGCAAGGCGTGGCGCACTTGTCGCTGGTGGTAGGCACAGAGTAGTTGCCAATGACGACACCGCAGTAGCACTCTTGACCGAACTCAACACCAGCGAAGGGGTAGCCATCGGCAGCGCAAGCGGCGATACAGGCGGACGGGGTCATGCTGCCGGTAGAAAGCTGGTCCTGGCGCTCAGCAACAGTGCGTCCGTGGCTGGTGTCGTCGGTGTAGCAGCCGATAGACTGGAAAGAGTTGATGACCGTGTCGTCGACGTTGGGGAACGTGGGATCAGCCCAGACGGAGAAGGCAGACGGGCCGCCGCAAGTCTCATTCTTGGCTCCATTGCAAGGATAGTTGCAGACCTTGTCGTCGAGCTTTGCGCTGTTGACAGTAGCACTGCAGTAACAGACACCATAGTAGGTCAGACCGGAGTAGCGGTAACCGTTGCCCTTGCACTCGGCAGCGCAGGACTCGGTGGTGGTAGTCGACTGGTCGATGGAGGAGCGGAAGTCAAGAGCGTTCTCGCCCTGAGTTCCCTTCTCGGCGTAGCAACCAGAGTAGACGAAGGGCTGGAAGGCGCTGAGACATGGAGGCAACTCGACAGTAGTCGCAGTGACCTGGGAAACGAGAGTGGCGGCAGCGGCGAAGGCAGCCACGGCTCTGAGCAGAGGAGCCATTTCGAGCGAGTGTAAGGCGGTGGACTAATTAAAGAATGGACAGGTCTTTTGCGAAAAGCAGAAGAAACGAATGTGGTTGTATGCCGAGAGGGCTGTGTGTGATGAGGAGGAATAGAGACCGGGATGAGAGGCACCAACGCCCTTCATATATAGTGAGATTTGATCATATCAGAAACCTCATGACGGTGGCCTCCAGGGTGGGAAGCAGTCAGGGGAGCGGGAGACGCAGGTAGCGGCCGATAGAGTGGTGTCAGGTCAGACGGGGACGAGGCTGCAGCTAGAGCATTAGCGTGATTTCCAAGGATAGAGTAAAAGATACGCTTATTCTGGAGACGGTCCGTTGAGTGACTGTTGGCTCAGACGCTGTCCTGCTGTCTTCACGGAAGAATCGGCAGGAAACAGCCATATCATGGGCCTGATGTCAAGAATAGGCGGGCTAGAGTCAACGGGGTCAAGCGGGAGCTGGACGCCACCTAGCCAGGGCCATTTTGATGTTCCAATAACAAGCCAGGAGAACAGCAATTAGAGACCACTGAACGGCGCGCCTTCACCTGCACTGGCGTTGGGCTTTGCAGACTCGAACGGAGCCTCCCATACTCTTCCTGGCCAAGAGGCAGGGCCGAGATGTAGTCAGGTTGGAGTATCCGCCAACTTGGGGCGGACCGGCGCAAAAGGGCATGGTCCTTGAGTCCGAGCAAGGCATCTAGGCCAGAACAGGCCTGGAGGGAGAATTGAAAGCTGAAGTCCAGGCCACTTCTGGTCGGCGGTAGTCGGCGGATGACGGGGTGCGAAGGACATGCACAGGGAAGTGTTTGGGTGCCAAGGTGCGAGGAAGACGAGGAAACAAAACAAACGACCAGGGTGTTGCCCCTTTGGGAAAGAAGAAATGCCCCGCTTGGGATAGATTGGCCCGTCTCATTGGCCCTCCCGGCGTTAAGCTCAGCTTATCCCGTCCACTGTCGGTGCCATCCCTCCACCTCTCCCTCTCCCTCCACTCGCATCTCCAACAGCAGGGGGTCCGGGCACAGAGCCCCCCGTACCTGCATTAGACTCCTTTTTTCTTTCCAATCTGGAATCACAGCAACTGCTAATCTCAGCTCCATTGCATCCGCATCTTCCACTCACCCATCATCAAGGTTTCCAAATGTGCTAGGCTCTTGTGGGGACCTTTGCCGTCCTCGATGCCGTCAGGTATAATCTCCCCCAAGCCAACTCGTCCTTCTTCACCTTAGCCACTTACGCAGGACATCATCTTTGGGTCTTCGTTTCGTTCTGATTCAGGGGAAACGCCAGGCCAAGAATATCCTTTTTGTCAGCATGGGCTTGAAGAACAATCGTCTCGATGCCCAGAGGCTTACCGCTCGACCGGTTTTCTTGTCCGCACCACAAAAGACCTTGGCCGAAGCAGCTATGACTCGGGCCGCGATACCTACCTCGAAGCTCCTGTGCATTGCTCGTGCGCCCTTGCATGGTGAACCTGTCAGAAAATGGCTTGGGTCTGAACATAGCAGCTATGCAAAATGCAGGTTGGGTTGCATTATTGACTTCTACCCCAGGCCTTGAGCCCTGTCAGCCACCGAGGCCAGCCCAACGCTTCGAGAAGCAGGGTATCTGCATACTCTGTCTCTCGTATAATCCTCCGCGATGCAGCACGCTTGGCGACTATCGACGGGGCTGCAACGTCTGCGGTGCTTGAGCTGATAAGGCAAACCACGACGCTTCGGACGAGGACCCCAAATCGTGCTCCGACTCTGGCACCTGCCCGCTCAGATTTCACGCTCTGCGCTGCCGCTTCGTTCTCTTCTCCCAACAATTTGGTTCTGTGTTTTGTCGGTGCGGATGATGTCGACAAACAACTCTCCGTCTTCCTGTGCGGGGCGGAACCTGGCCGAAGCTGTAGATCTTCGATGATCCCTGGTCCAAAGCAAGGGTGCTCCCGCATTCAAGGATCGAGCACCTCGTCAATTTGTTTACACTCCATTTGATAGGGCTGTCACGCCTCGCGACACCCGCCATATTCCCAGACACAGACCTCTCAACTGCAGGTGAGCATTGTTGGACCCTCCTTGCACGGCCGTATCGCCTGCGAGAGAATGGGGTGCTGCACTATTCTACAAGCTGGATGATACGAGACCGGCACCTGAGCCCGAGACATCTATCGTTATCAAGCTTACCCTTAAGCTTGACTTGGCTCAACATTCGCCGCGAGCCATCCAGCCCTGACGTCCCCTCTCTGGGGTCGATGGCATGAATCAACAACTCACTAAACGTTGTTTTTTAAGTTGGGCCAATCTAGGTCATATTGTCGCCGCCTGATTATTCGCACACTAAGTTGACTACACTATATCGTCGCAGATCCCTTCTACAAATGACTGCAATAACCCGCAACAATGGTCTATTGAGTCTGGAAACTCGAATTCCAAAGGGAGAGATTAATAACCATCTATGCAAAGACGCGTCACTGCTTCAAAGCGGTATCGGTAGACGCAATCCTTCTGGCCGAGAGAATTGTCAGTGCAGCTTCGGCAGCTGCAGCTGCATCACCTAGATGATATCTGGCTTGCATGCTGCCGTCCCATCAGCGAAGATCCCATCTCGGAGACAAGCATACCATCCGAACCATTCCCATGCGCCATTCTCAGCTCGTTGAGCCCGACCTCACTTCTCACTACGAAGCTCGGGAGAGGAGTTGCTGCGCCTCAAGCACCCGTCGACGGTGCCAGCCCGATGCCAATGCAACTGGACAATGCACACCTGAAAATACGACTAGCAACCCCTTTCCTCTCACCAAGAGAGGGGAAGGTAAGCTAGGGGAGTTCATCAAGTCCGACCGTCCGTCATTGAGGCTCACGGCGCACCGAAAGGCCCAAGCCAAAGTGAGACCCAACAAGACGGGCAACAGCTTCGAGCCTCTCCGACGCCTCACACGTGATGGGAGGAAAGAGCAGTTCTGCAGCGCGCTTCTTGGCGCACGGCAACACAACCCGCATCGTGGCTTTGCCTAGGCTCAACGGCGGCTTACTCTCTCCCTACCTCAGAGGCTACGGCTCACAACGAAAGGGGGCCATGGAAAAAACCTCAAACTCCACGATCTTCGCCACATCTGCGGACGGCGATCCTTCCAAGCCTCGTATCCAGGTGGACGGCACAAGTCCAAAGTCTGCTGGCTCCAAAATTCCCCGGTTCCCGCTGATGCGGCGCGGGAGGCCCGCGTATCTCGCATTTACTTACCCCTGACGAGGCTTACCGGAGACCATGAAGAATGCGGTCGGCCTTTTTGTCTCCAATGAGCCTGGTCTGGGCCTCCACCGTTGCCGTCCTGAAGTTGCCAAGAGCCTTCTGCAGCTTGCAACACCGATTCGTCTTCCTGAACAAAAGTCGCCAAGACTGCCCAGACCATGACATCCAACTAGTGTAGAAACATGACTGGAGAGATTCTTTGGCTGTTCGTTGCGGAGTCAAACAAGTCGGACATAGTCCTTCACTAACGAATTTTCAAACTTTTAGGCAAGATAATGTTGAAAGAATGAATCATGGATTATACGCAAGATGCCCCAAAGTCTAATCCAGCCATGTTGAAAATTTGAACCATGCCAAAAATCATTTCATCATCGTCACATTTCACTCCATCCTGACCAACGATTAAAGGCTATCTGTTACTTCCATTCTAGCTCCCCTCGATCAGTGAGGAGGGGGGATCATCCTCGGGGGCTCTAGAGTACATCCTTTTTTAAAACAACTTCCTGCCTAACCTAGAACGCCGATGCAGACTGCAGATCCCACTTGCTCTCTTCCTCCTCGTCGCCCCCTTTCATGAGCAACAAGCTTACTGCTTGTCGCGAAGGTGACGGGGCACCCACTTGCCCGCAGCGCCCGATGGCTTGAGCGGCTCGACCGGCTGCGCGGGGGAGCCGGTGCGCTCAGGGCGACCGTTCTCACCGCGTTCAGAGCCGGCGCGGTTGAGGGGCGCACCACCGGAGGCGGTCCGGGACGGAGGCGGCGCGGTGCTGCTGCTGTCGCCACCGCCGCCAGCGGCCTTGGCGGCCTCACGCTCACGCCAGCTGGGCTTGTTGCCGGCGAGGTTGAGGCGCGGCGGGCCAGCGCTGGGGCGGTCGCCGGAGTCGGCACGCTCAGCACGCTCGGGACGCTCAGAGCGTTCAGGGCGCTCAAAACGGTCGGAGCGTTCGGGGCGCTCGGAGCGTTCCACGGGAGGTCCACGAGCCGGGGGTGCGGAGTCCGTCGGAGCAGAAGACTTGTTCGCCTCGCGCTCGCGCCACTTGCCGGCTCCGGGGAGGTTGAGCGGGCGACGACCCTCGGAGGAAGGTTCGGCGGGGCCGCGCTCGGGAACACGGGACGGGGGTGCAGCGCGCTGGGATTCTCTCTCGGCCTTGCGACGGGCCAGGGCCTCCTCCTCGCGTCTCGCCTGGAGCGCGGCCTTCTCGAGACCCTCCTGGCGTTCCTTCTCACGCTGCTCCTTGAGGCGCTGCATCTCGGCGCGCTTGGCCTCGGCGCGTCTCTCCTGCTCCTCCTTCTCGCGGGCGGCACGCTCCTCGGCCTCGCGGAGGGCCCTCTCCTTCTCCTCGCGCTCGCGCTTCTCGCGCAGCTTGCGCTCGCGGTACTCCTTCTTGCGGGCGGCGATCTGCTTCTCGAGCTCCCTCTCGGCATCCCTACGACGCTTCTCGAACTCGTCCTTGCGGCGGTCGTGAAGGTTGTTGCGGAATGAAGTGTACTCGGGCACCAGACGGCTGAGGCGGTGCTTCAGCTCGACGCTCTCCTTGTGCTTCTCCTCGGACTCCTTGAGGGTTTGCTTCTTGACGGCCTCGTAGGTCGCGCGGTCCTTCTCGATCTGCTTCTGGTAGTCCTCGCCCAACTTCTTAGACTCCTCCTTACGGAATGCACGCTCCAAGTGGTCGATACGCTTCCAGACGATGCGGAGCTTCTCGTTGACATCGTTCTTCTCGCGCTTGAGCTGCTCCAGCTTGATGGCGTGGATGGCGCTG